GGGGGGGGGGGGATTTTGTATTGCTTCTCTATATCTATTTATGCAACTGCCTTGTGTTATAATACGGGAATTTTTCTTAAATTTATTAATTATTTTATTTTTTCATTATTTAATTATTTGCTTTTGTTATTTTATTATTTGCTTTTATTATTCTATTATTTGCTTTTATTATTTTATTATTTGCTTTCATTATTTTATTATTTGCTTTCATTATTTTATTATTTGCTTTTATTATTTTATCATTTGCTTTTTTTATTATTTGCTTTTATTATTTTATTATTTGCTTTTATTATTTTATTATTTGCTTTTATTATTTTATTATTTGTTTTTATTATTTTATTATTTGCTTTTGTATTTATTTTTCTTGTATTTACATGTTAGGTTTAGTTCTCAATGTTGACTATCTAATATTTGATCAAGTAAAAATTGATAAATTCGACAAACCTGATATTTGAGTAGTGCACATGTAGAATATAATAGTAAGAAAAATAGAATAGGGTTAAAGGAGTGTTGGTGGAGTTTCTTCACTTACTTTTGTTAGACCTTAGAGCGGCACCACCAAGGTTGTTTAGTGGTTAATCTCGATGCGCCCTAATAGACTGAAAATGTCGTCTTCTAAGGTAGATAGATAAATGCCTAATATGACGTCACTGAATATAGATTTATTACATACATTTGAGCGCATCGTGAATAACCACTAACCCAACTTATTCTCTTGGGCACTATAGATCTTGCAGAATCTTTTTTACCATAAAAATGTATAAGAACTTATTTTATTTCAGAAACACAGTATCCTTGATAAGATCCAGAATTCTACATTTCTTTCGTTTTAATTCTCTGTACTCCGGGAAATTTTGACGAAAATGTAAAGAGGCGCATTTTTAGGGGGGGGGGTCGTAATGTGGTTTACGAACTCAAATTCTCTTTTTATTTACGAAGTAAACACAATAAATCATTAAGAAATATTTTTAAAATATTTTTTCCAAAATGTTCATATGTAAATATGCAACAAAAGTACGACTTGCCTCAGAAAAAAACGTTGTAATAAAAAATTGAAGACAAGTATTAATTTTTATAAATATCATAATTTTATTGTAATTATCATTTTCATGACTTGTAATAATTAGATATATGTTTCAACTGACGCCGGACTATTTGAACTATTTAACAGATTTAGAGAAAAAGAATGATGTCTGTAGATTTGTTTTTCTTCACTCATATATTTTTATATATGTTAGCCGTAGCTGGCCAAACGGCTGAACCAAATTGGCTGAATAGTTTTGAGAGAACTCAATGAGTACCCTGGGGGTAACATAGGATTAAAAATAGATTATTTTCTTTTACAATTAGATTTGTTTATTCAGGGGCTGCTGGACACTTTCTAGTATCAAATAGACGTCAAACCCCTCTAAACAGATTGGACACAGTAAAGGTTTATGGGCTCCCAAAATTAAAAAGAAAATGATGTTTAAAATCTACCAAAAAAAAACACAAAAATACATGAAAATTTATTATTCTATTATGTACGAAAAGAAAGGCCTGCATTTTTAACAGTAACAAAAAGCTATGTTTGTTTTTTTACTAGAAATAAAGACGTGAAGCCTTTTAAGTGTAATGAGTTTTGCATTTAGAACCTTATTGTTCACATATTTCCAAATACACTTATCAACAACTTTTTGACAATTTTTTGTTTATGATACATAGTACAGAGAGAAATATAAAAAATATTGTAGAAAGATTTTTTAAACCTTTTTAACGTTATGATTAATACACATTTTGGATTGCGTGTATTAAACGATTTTAGATGAAAAATGCAATGAAATACTGATTTCCGGCAGATTTTTCAATCTATTGACTCCTCATTGAAAAAGTTTTATTCAACTATTCAATACCTTTCATAGCTTTATACACGTAGGCACTAGGCATCCTGTTAATTCATCTATATATGATATAGCCAGGATGATACAAAAAAAACATGCACATTGATAAAACTTTTATAATATTGTTATATTGTTATTATTATTATTATTATTATTATTATTATTATTATTATTATTATTATTATTATTATTATTATTATTATTATTATTATATAGTACCCTCCTTTATCTGATTATTGATGGCAGAGAAATATGTGTGTTTATCTCAAAAATAGGGTCCATAATACCAGAAAACAATAGAGTGTACGCAAGTGTACAGTGTGAACTTAACACAACCATGAGTATGCATATTTGCAAGAATCCCGAACTTTCTGTGTCTGGCACAGTTTTAAAAAATTTGAACAAAATATTAATTTTCTCTGACTTTTAAAGTAAATATTAACATTTTTTAAAGTTAGAAAAGCTTGCAAAGAAAATTGTCAACACTGACAAACGTTTTTGTAGATTAATGAGGATAGGTCCGTCATCCTTGATCAGACCAAGGTACTAATGCAAGGAAAGTTAATTGCGGTCGCATATACTCTGCGCACATATTGAAACAAGTTTTCTCTGGGCGGAATTTGTAAACAAGTATCCGAGGAGGTTAAATGCATTAAATTTTAATAATTTTGAAAATTCACATAACAGTTTCCTATGACCAGAATATTTCATTGATTATTTTGTGAAAATTGATTCCATGTCAGGCTGTTACATCCGTCTTGTGTTTACTTTTCCGCCCAAAGACGACAGTACACTGCAGTACAAAAAATGCGTACACCTCTGAAATAATTTTCTTTGCATTATAACCTTGGATCGGACAAACATTTTAAAGTCATTGTTGTAATTAGCATGAAAGATCACCTGAATTTACGTCTACAGTTCTTTTCAAATATTTTTCTTCTACTTATTTATCAACAGAAATGCTTGTAAGTGCTGATACCTAGGTTTTGGCACCCAGTACCCTTTATAATAAAAGGCGGGAGTAACTATGAATGATAATGTAAACCTGGGCAACGTCGGGTGCTCCCTCTAGTTGTAAATAGTTATGAAATTATGAAATTATGAAAACACTGAATTGGTGAATACAAAAATCAACACCTGGCGTTGATGTCCCTGCGTCCTGTATATATACTGGGGGAATGGCTGCTCGTCCCTAGTTGCTCTTTAGAGAGCTCCAGATTACTGTTTAACTACACGCTTCAAATCCAGGTACACCTGCCAAACATAAATACATCAGCTAAAGAAACCAAGTTTACAGCCACAAACTTGCTTTCTTATTTCTGCAATCCAATGTTGAAGGCATTTGACATTTCAAACTATGACTTCTGTTGGATTAAAAAGTCTAAATTTGAAATTTTGAAGGTTTTACACTGTAATGTTGCAAAGATAAAGAATCTGGTCACATGTCTCCGTCTTAATCACATGACAATGATACTGCACTGCCATTGGTGAATATTCTGGTCATCTGATACAGACGTGTGTCAAAATTAGGACACTTTTTATATAATTTTTATAATCAAATAATTTCTGAATTTTAGAGTGATTTAAATCTGAATGTTTAATTTCTGAATGCTTCGCACCCATCTTCTAAATTAATTGTGAACATGTTCTCTTTGTGTACATCGTAAAACAAAACAAAAATAATTCGCGGATTTTCACAAAAAATTTCGTGGATTTTAGACTATAGCTACGTAGTGTTTCTAGATATTTGATTTTCAATAATTCAACATTATTTTATTCAACACTTTAAAAAACAGAAACTTTTTGATAAAAGACTCAACAAGTAAGTTTTTTACTTTGTAATCTGTTAGAAGATATATTTCACTTTATTATGGTACAACATCCTAGAGTAGAGTGGCAATACCTAATACATACATGATATTTATACTAAATCACTAAGGCTTGCAGTTTGTGCACAACATATATATATATATATATATATATATATATATATATAATACTATACAAATATAACATTTAGCCTCGCTGTACATGGTTTCATAGGATAAAAAGGGTTGTACTGGTTTCCTATTGCTTGATAGAAATGGAGCTGGGGCCTAGCTTAAAGTTGGGTTTACTAGGTTTTTAGACGTCTGAGTCTGTTTATATGCATTATGCATAAATGCATTTTATTAATATTCTTCACAGACATATCAATTATATCTATTACAAATGAATAAGTAATATATTCAAATTATAATAGGAGCATACTTAACATGTTTAGACTCTACTGAGTACTGGGTATTGTCGTTTTCAGATTTGTTGCATTTTTGCTGAATATGTTCTATGTTCTATGTTCTATGTTCTATGTTCTATGTTCTATGTTCTATGTTCTATGTTCTATGTTCTATGTTCTATGTTCTATGTTCTATGTTCTATGTTCTATGTTCTATGTTCTATGTTCTATGTTCTATGTTCTATGTTCTATGTTCTATGTTCTATGTTCTATGTTCTATGTTCTATGTTCTATGTTCTATGTTCTATGTTCTATGTTCTATGTTCTATGTTCTATGTTCTATGTTCTATGTTCTATGTTCTATGTTCTATGTTCTATGTTCTATGTTCTATGTTCTATGTTCTATGTTCTATGTTCTATGTTCTATGTTCTATGTTCTATGTTCTATGTTCTATGTTCTATGTTCTATGTTCTATGTTCTATGTTCTATGTTCTATGTTCTATGTTCTATGTTCTATGTTCTATGTTCTATGTTCTATGTTCTATGTTCTATGTTCTATGTTCTATGTTCTATGTTCTATGTTCTATGTTCTATGTTCTATGTTCTATGTTCTATGTTCTATGTTCTATGTTCTATGTTCTATGTTCTATGTTCTATGTTCTATGTTCTATGTTCTATGTTCTATGTTCTATGTTCTATGTTCTATGTTCTATGTTCTATGTTCTATGTTCTATGTTCTATGTTCTATGTTCTATGTTCTATGTTCTATGTTCTATGTTCTATGTTCTATGTTCTATGTTCTATGTTCTATGTTCTATGTTCTATGTTCTATGTTCTATGTTCTATGTTCTATGTTCTATGTTCTATGTTCTATGTTCTATGTTCTATGTTCTATGTTCTATGTTCTATGTTCTATGTTCTATGTTCTATGTTCTATGTTCTATGTTCTATGTTCTATGTTCTATGTTCTATGTTCTATGTTCTATGTTCTATGTTCTATGTTCTATGTNTTTAAATGTCATGATATCAATCATAGGTGTATGGAGGGTCACTTAAACATTAGGCTTACAGTTCTTTTAAATGTGGTTTACATTCAGCACATACTACATACTAAAATACAGGCTTTTATTTGTTCAGGTTCTTGGATTAGAGCAGTAAGAAAATGGGAACACCTCTTCTACCATTTCTCCTTTTAGGTAATACAATCAATAATTACCCCATCAAAATGGATCAATCAAACCACCAAATAATAAATCAATTAATCAATCTTTGACCTAGTTATATATCCAAATAAATCCCCAATGGATATCAAACATTACCTAAACTTTAGTAATGTAAATCTCAGAATCAAGGACTATCTCTATCTTAGATCTACGAATTAATTAAAATCCTCTTTGATATTCCATGATAGTCATACCCTTGAAGTTTAAAAGATTCCGGCCTTAATCTTTAAAAGTTTTTAATAGTTAAAGATTTTAACAGCATTAGGCAAGGTTCAGTAAGGCTTTTGTGGAACTAACTAGGTCTAGATAAAATTGGAAAGTCAAATGTATAAAAATAATATGTTTTAAGGGGGGGGGGGCAAAAGTTATCCTAATTTGAATTGGACTTCCTTTCTTAATTATAAGATGAAGGATTTTTAATAATTCAATTTTCAAGGGGATTTGGTGTTGACTGTGTTTGGAGTTCCATCAGTCAGCTATATTGAGCCCCAAAGCGTCTCGCAGGGTGGAGGGGTCATCTTCATCTATGGAAGTGAGTTCTCTGAAGATAACTTTAACCTGTTTGGACCTGTTGCTGGAAATAAAATCTATTTCTACAATGAATATGAGACAATTGTCTGTAGTCATCCGATAGAGAAGAACTGGCTGCTTCAAAATCCTCAGGTTATCTTCCAACTCTTTAAATATTTATTTTTTTTTCATTTGAAATTTTACATATTTTACATCATGTATGGCTAAATATAAAGTAATCATAAAATGATTGAAAAAAAGTCCATTTCATTTCAGAAATGTGAAAGTATTAAAGAATAAACAAATATATAGAAAACTTGAACCTTATAATTCTAGGCTGCATCCTCCAGTAAGCTGGTGTGTAGTTTGCCTGGAAGAAAGGGGAAACTGGGCAGCGAGTGGTAAGTTTCTAAAAAAATTATTGCTTATCAGTGAGTCAAGGTTTGCATTTCCTTTTTTCATTGAGAAGTAGAATTCATATCATAGCTTAGAGTAGAGGGGGTTTGTATTGCAGTGCACTCAGGAATATTTGTGACCTTTATACTTAATTCAATGCACTAATCTATATTTATCTAATAAGTTAAACACACAGATATATATTATCTTGGTTTTTAACTTTGAATGGTTTAGGTTTACTCTCAAGATTACTGTTGATGGTGCAGAGGTATCCAATGCCCATGAACATATGGTAAGATTTGACAGCAGTAGGACACCAGAGCTACAGAAAATTGACCACAGATATGGTCGTCCTGGGGATCTGGTCACAATTTCTGGGAAAATTTTCTCAAAGAATATTGGACCTGGAGCTTCTAATCTAGATAATTTTGATGAAATTGACACATGGTCCCTACAAAATATATTTTTTGGATCTTCTGTTTGTGAGCTGATGAATGATCTTGGTAATCCTTATGGAGTTAATCTTGATGTAAAAAGTAATGGTGATTTTGATACAACTGGAAATATTACATGTAAAACTACAGGAAGTTTTGTAGGCCCTCAAAATGCCACGCTTTTGGTATCTGAGTATGGACAGTCAATCATTTCCAAAGATGCCTTTTCTGTAAACAGCAAAGGACAGGCGTTTTTCTATCATACTTTACCTGAAGTATCTTCTGTGTCTCCATCTCAGGGTTCTATAGATGGAGGAACCTTTATTACTATTGAGGGAGCTGGATTTGACGGTTATGAAGACAATACCAAAGTCTTTGTTAATGATGCAATTTGTGAAATAGTTGAAATTGATGCTTACAAGTTGGTCTGTAAAAGCCCAATGGAATCTGATGTTGGACCGCCTACAGGAGGTCCTCGTGGCCTGAAGTATCAACTCTGGGAAGACAAAGTTGCTGCTACAAGTGATCTTGGTGCTGTAGTTGAGGAGCTAAATGCTGCAGCAGCCCTAGAATTTGTTGTTGATCAAGGTTTTATCAATGAAAACATGGCCGGAGAAGTGTCAGATTTCACTGGCAAGCTCAGTGGTATTTTTGTTGCACCAGTATCAGGTAATTTTAGTTTTGCTGTGTGTTCCAATGACTATGCAGAACTCTACTTGGGATCTACTGATGATTCTTCAACTAAGGTTTTGGTAGCAAATAAAGATGGAGCTTGTGACAAGAATACTCCAGTAAAAGCTGATTTTTCAGACAAAATAGAACTATTGGAGGGTGACCAATATTATATTGAGGCTGTCCACATTCACAGGGATTCTGTTGCAGGAAACAAAACCAACTTTCTTCAGATATCTCTGAACCAATTTAACACTTACCTCACCAGCTCAGATCTTAGTCTTGCTACTGCTGAATCACAAGCAATCTATATGAAAGAAACAAGAGTTTTAGAAAAGCAAAAGATCACTGTTCAAGGTGTTTCATCTGCAGAACTAACCTTTACACATCATGGCATTGCTTCAAAAACTCCGGTTTTCTCTGATGATGTTTCAAGCTGGAAAGAAAATTTAGACCAAATGTTTACATGGCAATGTTTAAAGTCACAGACCACATTTAAATATTTGCAAGGAGCAGAAGACAAATCTGTATTGCTTCCAGGACAAGGTGGCAATGACTTCAGACAATTTGGTCTCAACTCAGAACCTTTCTGTGGTAACTCTGTGTGGAGCAAACCATGGAGAATCATGTGGCTGAATGAAGAATGGGACTGGCTGGATGCCAGAAGTACTGGAAAGTTTATGTGTTTTGCATCTAAAGGTTCTGCATTCTATGATGGTATTAATGTTTTGTATAAGTTCCAAACTAAAACCTACCAGATGTGGTCTGCTTGGGTTACAGTAAATGTTAGTATCAGTAATGATGGCAGTGCCTGGAAATATCAATGTGTTAATCTCCTGGATGGTTTTCTAATTGACTCACCTAACTGGGTCAAGGACAATGCCCTGTCTGGAGGAATTATTTCTATGCAAAGTGTGACTCTTAATTTTGATTCCAATCCAAGAAAAGATGGGTTTCTTGATGAAGTTTCTTTTGGCAACAAGGAGGTGACACTTGAAAGAATTAGTCCAGCTCATTTAAGCAACAAGATTAGAATGGAATCAATTGCTGTTACAGAAGCAGGAAGTGGTGTTGAAATTGAATTCAATCCATTTTCTTGTCAGAATTCCAATGAAACTTTTGGACTTCTGGGTATTGCTGGTGCAACTATTGAAGAAATGACCTCATCTGCTACTGGAGCTGATCTAGTTCAAGAACAAGTAGATTATCTCAAATCAAATAATATTGCTACGTTTTTAGTTGGCTCTGGAAAAGTCATTGTAGAGAGAATTGAGCAGGAATCTCCTGCTATATCTGGCACTTTCAGTGTTTCTAGGGATGGGAAAACCATTGAAAACATTCCAGCTGGAATAACTTGGTATAGATTTCAAGAACTTTTGGAAAATAAATTTGGTCTTTTAGGGGTAGAAGGTGTTAATAACTTTTGGGACAAATGTTACTCCAATGCTCTTGTCTGGGAATTTAAGAACATAGGCGGAGACCAACCTGAAATTACAATAGATTCTTCCAACATAGTAAGTTTAGGATCCAATCTAAATACTGGTGGATACACAGCAAATGATGGTAAGGTCATGATTAAAGAAATTGGAGGTGACTTTTTCCGGCAACAGGTGGAATCAAGCTCCCCAATTGTGACAGTCTGGGTGAATGGTTTTCTTTCTTCTTGTGTAGGATCTGGTTGCCAGTTTTCATATGATTCAGCTTTGGCAACCACAATATCAGCTGCTACAAGTAGTTTTGTAGATGGAAAAGTCATGCTTACCATAAGTGGAACTGGATTTACAACTGATATAGAGGATTTTAGTATTGATGTTGGAGGCAGAACTTGTAAAGTAGAGTCTGCTATAGCTACCAGTGTTGTGTGCCACCTTGAGAATGGTCCTGCCGGGGATCTACCAATCACATTTTATGTAAAATCAAAGGGTCTGGCAACAGGAAAAGTTGTGTTCACGCTAAATCTTGAAGTGGCTTCAATCTCTCCAAATTCTGGCAGTGTTGGAGGAGGAACTAAACTAAAAATAACTGGGACTGGATTTCCTAATTCCATGGGTGGTTGGGCAAATGGAAGTATTACTATTGGTGGAAATAACTGCCTTATTCTCTCCACTTCTTTTTCTGAGATAAAATGTATCACTCCTCCTGAAGGAAGCTCAAGTCGTAAAAAAAGGGCAGCTGCTGAAGTTCTGGTTAATATCAATGGAAAGTCTGCCTCTGGAGGTAGCTACAACTATGATGCTTCTTCAACACCAACAATCTCATCCCTTTCCCAGACCAGCTCTACCGCAAAAGGAGGTGATACATTGACCATATCTGGATCTTCTTTTGGCTTTAGAAGTTTTCAAAGCAAGGTAAATGTTGGTCAATCTGAGTGCCCTGTCATTTCTTGGTCTGCAACAGAAATAACTTGCATTCTTCCCCCGCTTGGCAATGGAAATCACCCTGTTGTTGTTTCTACAGAAAGTAATGGATATGCTGACAACAGCTTAGTATCACCAGTTTCTGTAGCATTTACACTAACAGGAGCTTCACCTCGAGTAGGTTCCATTCAGGGAGGAACAAAGATAACAATCACTGGATCTGGGTTTGGGAACTGCTCAGATGTTGTTTTCAATGTAGGAAATGAGCATACATGTGTTGTTGATCCAAATGAATGCACAGATACATCTGTGGTTTGCAAAGTGACAAAGACTGCTACCAATCACAAGATTTGGAATACAGGTAGACATTTTAAATTTGGGCCTGGCTATTTATGGGAACCAAGTGTCCTCATTGTACGCCCAGGAGATCAAGTACAATGGAACTGGAACATTCCTGTAAAGCAAGAAGGTACAGGTATCAGTGTTCATGCTGTATCATCTGGATTATCATCTGAATGGGATGGCAAGGGATTCAAGTCAGGAGAAAAATCTTCCAAGGGCTATCTGAAGCACATGTTTAGCACTCAAGGCACCTTTTATTATAGCACAGAGGATGTTATTGAAGGTGAGAAAGTGTTCATGTCTGGGAAAGTCATAGTTCAAGCTCCTGAAGATGAAGTTGCTGAAATCACAGCAATCATTGGAGACATTTCTGCTGATACTGTAAGTAACAATGATCCAGCTCTTTTATCTAGCAGTTGTACAGCTGCAGACAACTCATGTGCTGTTACCCCATCAAGTTCTGATAAAATAGAGTTTGCCTTTTTTAATTGCATCACACCAGAAATTACCAACATTGAAGTTTCTTCCAACGGAGTCACTAATTCAAATTTTGGAGATCTTGTAGGATACGGAAATTCTGAGATTACCATAACAGGAAATGGATTCGGACATGAAGCTTGTCAAAATCAAGTTCTTGTTGGGAAAACCCCTTGCAACATATTGTCCTCATCCTCCAGTTCTATTATTTGTGAGGTTGACTCTGCTAAAATTACATCTTTAGAAATGCTACCAATTTCAGTAAATGTTGAAAACAATGGTCAAGCTCTGAAATCTCTTGCTTCTGACACAAGTGGACAGCTTTATGTTGTTCCAAAACTAACTGAAATAGCATCTGCATCTGGCTCCTGGGCTGGAGGAGCAATACTGACTCTAAAAGGAGTAGGACTTTACCCAGGAGATGGAATAGTCATTGTAAATTTTGGAGAAGCTCCATATCAACAAGCTTGCAATGTGGTGGAGAAACTTGCCAATGAAATATCCTGCATTGTACCTGATTACAGAGGTATGAAAACTGGACCCAATAAAACTGTTTCAATAGAAGTTTATCTTAGCAGCAATATGATCAAACCTGAAGTTGACACTATTGTTCAAATGGAGTACACTTTTACTGATGATCTAACACCCCAATCTTCAACAGCATCACCATCAACATTTTCCAATTCAGAAAGCATTGAAGTCTCTGGCCTTGGATTTGGAACAGACCTTTCTGGAGTAAAAGTATACCTAAAACCATCAGGGGCTTCTTTAAGACGAAGAAGACGTAGCATTAAATCAATCCAAGATGAAATTGTAGCTAATGAAATAAATTCCCTTGGCCTGATACCTAAAAGTATCCACACCTTCTGGAAGAGTCTGAAGAGTCAAACCAAGAAAAGAAGCATCTCCTGGTTGTCTGCTGGATCTTCTAAAGCTAAGAGAAGTGCTGACTACCTTCCTTCCATTGAAGCACATGAGCTAAATGATCCTAATGAAGAAGCTTTTCATCCACTTGTCCCCCATTTGCATGTAAATACAGTAAAGAGGAATGTAGATGCAAATTTCTTCAACCAAGCCTTATACAATAAACTTATGGATTCTGATGCATCCTACATTGTAAGGCACAAGAAAAGATCTATTACAAGCATCAGGAAAAAGAGATCTACAGAAGAAGAACTGTTAGAAATATCCATGGAAGGTCTTACCCCAGCAACTGTTCTGTCTGTTTCTGATTCAAGAATAACCTTTAAAGCCCCTAGTGTCCCAGCAGGAGAGTATTCTGTTGTAATTTATATTTCTGGATCAGGTCATGCAGATGCAACAGATACTGTCATTACCAGTCAGGCTGCAGTTGATACAATTTCCCCATCAACTGGAAGCATTTATGGTCATCAAGCTGTGACAATTTCTGGGAATGGATTTAGTGGAATGATTGGGGATACAACAGTTATGGCTGGGTCTTCTAATTGTGAGGTAACAGCAGTTAATGCAGGTTCTGTAACATGCATAACTTTAGAAAATGCAGCAGGGCCTGTAGATTTTGTGGTAACATCTAATGGTGTTACCTTCCCACCTGTGTCTTTCAGTTTCGAACTTTCATCCACACCAGTTATCAACCAAATTTCTCCAAGCACTGGAAGTGGAACTGTTTCTTTAGTAATCAGTGGCTCTAACTTTGGCTCAGCACCTTCAGTTAGTGTAGGTTCAGTGGATTGTCTTGTAACATCATCAACAGCATCCGAAATCAATTGTGATCTACCAGCAGTCCCAGGTGGAAACTATGCAGTCATTGTCTCAAATGAAGAGTTTGGGTGGTCAAATCAGGACATAACATACAGTGCAATTCTGTCAATGCAATCTGTTTCACCAGTTTCTGGAAGTTTTGGTGGTGGTTCTCTAATCACAATTTCTGGCCAAGGTTTTGATACAATTAATTACCCAACAGTCACAGTATGTAACATCAATTGTCTGGTTGAGTCTGTGTTGGATACTAAAATACAATGCTTAACACCATCCGTGTCCGGAACAGGATCAAAAAGTTGTGATCTGAACATTGTACAATCCCAAGGGTCTACAACATCATCAGCAATTACTTTCACATATGAAGAAAGTCTTACACCTATGTTGTCAAGCATTTCTCCCAGGAGAGGGGGTACAGGAGGGGGAACCCCTATAACTATCACTGGTTCTGGGTTTGCTACTAGTGGAAATAAGGTAAGCATAGATGGCAGCATTTGTGATATAACTTCTGAGAGTACAACAGAAATTCAGTGTTTGACAAATTCTCATGATGGAAGCTCAGAAACTGTTGTAACTGTTGATGTTCCATCAAAAGGTTATGGAAAACCCCTGGATGATGACTCTACCACTTTCTATTATATTGACAGATGGTCCTCTATCTGGACATGGGGAGGTACTGGAACGCCACAAGAAGGGGAACTTATTGTTATTACAGAAGGTCAAACAATTTTACTTGATTCCTCTACCCCAGTACTTAAAATGCTCCTCATTGATGGAGGTAACCTTATTTTTGATGGGGAACAAACTGCTTTAAATCTTCAAGCTGAATACATACTGATCATTAGAAATGGGACTTTGCAAATAGGAACTGAGGATAATAGATATCTAAATGAGGCTCAAATCACTTTGCATGGAAACGTAAGATGCACTGAGCTTCCTATTTATGGATGCAAGACAATTGGTGTAAGAGAAGGTACACTAGATCTACATGGAGAGTTCATTCCAATGACATGGACTAGGTTATCTCAAACAGCAGAGATTGGAGATACCATCATCCATCTTCAGCATGGTGTAAATTGGAAGCCTGGAAGTGAAATTGTTGTTGCTACTACTGGTGGAAGAGCATCTATGGGAGAGAGTGAGAAAATGACAATTGAGTCTGTTTCTGCAGATGGGACTATGCTAACCTTAACTAAGCCTTTAAAGGCCCAGCATTTATCAATCTCTCAAACTTTTGGCTCACATGAGGTAGAAACCAGAGGTGAGGTTGGCCTTCTATCAAGAAATATCAAAATTAAAGGGGCTGTAAATCAGCAGTTTGTTACTGAAATACCAGCATGTGAGAAACCTTTTGTTGCAAATGAAGAAGCAGAACAATCTTGCTTTCAAGGTAAGTTTGGAGAGGAAATTGGTACTGATGAATTTGGTGCCATCATCCTAATCCATGCAAAAGAAATTAACAAACATTTAGCTACAGCAAGAATCAGTTATACTGAGTTTAATGAGGTTGGACAAGCATTTAGAGTAGGTCGATATCCGATTCATTTCCATATCAATGGAGATGTTACTGGATCTTATGTTAGAGGAAATGCAATTCATCACAGCTATAATAGAGCCTGCACCATTCATGCTGTAAACAATCTTCTTGTGGAGCATAATGTTGCATTTGATATCAAAGGACTCTCATTCTTCATTGAAGATGGAATTGAGATCAATAATGTTATTCAGTACAATTTGGCTGTATATACTAGGCAATCCAACAGTTTACTAAATCCTGATATTCAACCTGGAGCATTTTGGGTTGTAAACCCAAACAACATTCTTAATCATAATGCTGTGGCTGGAAGTACTCATTTTGGATTTTGGTACAGAGTTCTTCAGAATCCAGATGGACCTTCTGCAACACCAACTTACTGTCCTGCAAAAGCACCAATGGGGTCATTCTACAACAATAGTGCTCACAGTAATGGTCTTTATGGTATTTGGATATTTACTGCTGGTGAATCAGGCTGGTCTCCTCACGATGGTGATCTTGAGCACGGTTATTGCAATGGTCATGCAACAACAGCTACTTTTGGTAATTTTATTGCATGGAATAATGAAATTGGAGTTGAAGTTGTTGAAAGTGGAGCAATTCGATTTGAAAATATGACCCTTCTTGACAATGAAAAGAGTGGAATTGAAATGATTCATCCAGTTGGAGTCACTCGTCAAAATGGTGAAGACTATGGTGCCCCAACATTCAAAAATTCTATTGTAGTAGCTCATTCTAAACTTACTGAAGGATGGGAAAATGGAGACACATTTTGCAGCAAGTCAGGTGTTTGGAGTGGATGGTGGGGAAATGATGTTGAAAATATAGAATTTTACAATTTTGACAGACCAACATGTGCAGCATTGAGCAACTGTGCTCGCTGCAAGCCAAATTGGGCTGGCGGCAAGACCCAGACAAGTGGACTTTCTTTCATCAACAGTCCAAATAAGATTTCTTGGCCATGGACTATGGGAGGATTTTATGAAGATTTGGACGGCACCTTGTGTGGAACACCTGGTTGTAAGGTTGTTCAGAAGAGAGACATTTATGATCCTGTGACTTGTGTAGATGATACTGATGATGAGTTTTCTCACATCATAGGTGGAGGTAATGGACTAGATTGGCTTGACCTAGGACTTTTAGAAAATGAGACACTAAAGCTAGATGCCTCTGTTTGTGATCCGTCACAACAATTTCACATTGTCGGGTTGGATAAATATGCCCCAACATCACTTCAGTTCAACGATTTGATATTTTTTAATGAGTTTGGTAGTGCTGCAACACCATGGAGGAAAAAGTCCCCATATAAAGATGGATGGGCAGCAGTTCTCCCTGAAGGACAGGTTAATTATTTCTTCTGGAATACTTTAGATCATTTGACAAATATAACCTACAGATTAGGAGCTTTCCAAATGTCTGCAGATGGTGATCATCTTCTTTTGGGTCATAATTTCACCCAGTCTCCAGATATTTTTACATTTAACGGGGAAGAAACCAACTCATCAAAGTCTTTAGCTGAAATCCCAACCTATGAAACGGCTGGCAACACTGATTGGTTCTGGAAAAATGAAACCAAGGAACTCTCCTATATTTTGTCGTACAAAGATAAAAATCCTATAACAAAGAGATCTGGTATGCCTCATGAAAAATACAGGGAGGTTCAATTCAGGGTTTATAGATGCCTATATGACGGATGTTTGCCACCTCCTCCTCCAACTGTTCCTCCAGGCAGACCTACAGAATTCCTAAAATGGTCTAGTGAGTCTGATTGGGCAACCCTAGGCATGACAAAGCCAACTGCTAATGATGACGGGTTGGTAACTGAATGGATTTCCATTCCTCCTGGAGTTTGGATGGTTCTAGATGAAGTACCCCCGCTTCTGACCAGACTTTACATTTATGGGGTTTTGGAAATTGATGATTCTATAGATAATGTGCTCAGTGCAGAGATCATTATGATTCAAGGTGATCTAGCTCAATTGGTTGCTGGTTTTGGAGATGCTCCTCATACTCATAAATTTGATATACTTTTACGAGGAAATCATGAAACTCTTGACCAACCTCTACCTGATGGACCAAATCTAGGAGCAAAAGCTTTAGGTGTATTTGGTAAGCTTCAATTACATGGATTGGATGTTGGGAGAACCTGGACCAGATTGTCTGAAGACGCTCTTGCAGGAGCAACAACCATTACCTTGGCAGAGGATGTTGATACCACCTTCTGGACAACTGGGGCAGAGATTGTAATTGCTCCCACAGGGTTTGAACCAACTGAAGTTGAGGTTCATACCATTCAGTCTGCTAATGGCAGAGTTTTGACTCTTTCTAAACCACTTGCATACAAGCATTTAGGAAGTGAATATTCTCTGGATGATGGATCTGTTTCTTGGACAATTAGTGCTGAAGTTGGACTTTTAACTAGAAATATTAGAATTGTTGGAGAGGATTATCCAGAGAATGAGGAAGAAGAGTTTGGTGCCAGAGTCTTGGTTTCCAAATTTAAACAGGAAGGTGTGGAATATAAGGGATATGCTAAAATAGCCAATGTTGAGTTCCACCGTGCTGGGCAAGAAGGTTGGACAGACAGGTTTGATCCCCGATACTCACTTTCTTTCCTCAATCATGAAGACTCCACTGATGATGATGTGTCCAACAAGGAATCATATGTGAAAAAGTGTTCATTCAATTACAACTACAATGCGGCTATTGGGGTATTCAACTCTAATAACATCCTTCTAGAGGACAATGTTATTTACAGAACTTTGGAATATGGTCTTAGAGATGAGGGTGTTGGTAATAGATGGATTCATAATTTCATTGCTTGGACTAAATATGTTGGTCTCCATAAAGATCAAAGAGGTAATTTTTACAAACGAGGTTGCATCATCCTTAATGAAGCATGGGACACTGATTTCCGAAATAATGCAATGGCAGGCTGTGAAAGAGCAGGACTTGTTGCAACTGGACATATCTGTTCTTCTGAGAAAAGATGGGAGGGAAATGTTATTCATTCCTCACATGAGGGTGTTCATGTTAATACTTACAACCCACCAATTGAAATCATTGAAGATAAAAACTGCGTAGTTTTCAGAAACCTACTGCTTTACAAGATTTATGATTATGCATTTTACTTGCTGACCCATGACACTGTTGAAATGGAAAACAATATAATTGTCGACGTCGGAGTTGGAATACATCCTTTCCTTATTCGACCAAGGCCAACATCTCATCTTGTTGAGGAGAAATATCTACAAATTAACAATACTGTCTTTGTTGGAAGATCTTCTGCTTTTGACTGTGAGACTGATGTTGAACCATCATATCTCTGGTTTGATCGGGATAGAAATGGGGGTGATACTATGTGGCCTGGAAGAGACTGGAAAGGATATAAAACAGGACATGCAGGATTATTATGGCCTATTTTTAGCGGTATTGGAGTACCATTAGGAAAACCTTGGGTCAATGGAAAACCAAAATCTTTTCCACTTTTGACTGGTCAAGTCTTTCTAAATGATAATGTCTTTGCAAATTACAATCCTGGACAATGCAATGGAGCCTTTGACTCTGCAATCAGAACTAATCCAAGGGGAGATGACATGCAATTTCCAATCATTTCTAAAGGTACAAGATTTGTAAATGTTGATCAGAGTAGCAAAATTTGGATGGATCGGCCTCTAGACAAATTAGTTGTAAATGAGCACTGTGTTGACATGCACTGTGATGGTCTGAAGAAAGCGTTGCTCATTGATACTGATGGAAAGATTATTGGAAATGATATTCCTGGAACTATCATTGCTGATTCTGGTTACCAGTGGGAGGGAAACCCAACAGCAGGACTTGGATACTACAGAGTTCCAAAGTCAATGGTCACTGAGGTCAATGGGGACAAAATAGAATATGCAGACAAGATGCCGAATACAGGAATTGTAAGAAATGATCAATGTGAATGGGTTCCTGAGTGGCATGCATTTAAATGTCATGATATCAATCATAGACTTTTGATTATGGAGTCTATGGATGTTGACACACTAGACAGAAGATTATCTCCAGTTGCAGTCTTAGCTAATCCTGGTCCCAATGGTTTCATTGATCTTATAAACGGTCCTCAAGATTGGTCCTGTTGTTTTGGCTATGCTTGTCAAAAAAGAATTTCAAATTTTTATGCTATTGTTGGTACAAACATGATGTATGAAATTCATTTGACATCTACACCCCCAATTCATATGAGATACAGATTGAAACACAATATTGGAGGAGACCCTGTACTTCTCAAGATTTTCTTCCCAAAACCTCAAAGAATCGATGTGTTTGCTGGTGAGAGATATGTTGCCCCTGAAAACATTGACCTTACTTCAGAGCAATTCTCCATGCTCCCAGCCAATGATGCATTTATTCCAAGTCTTCAATCTGAAGTAGAGGGTGCAAATTATTTTGATCCTACAACAGGATTTCTCTACCTCTTACTTAGGGGAACCAACACTGTTGACTATAAAATTCAACCTTCAGTTGTAACTAAGATTGGAGCAACTATTGACATGGACAATTTCTTTGAGGGTGATGTTGCTGGAAATATTGCTGCTTTACTAGGAATTAATCCTAAAAACATAAGAGTTACAAATATTGTTAGAGAGGGCAGTGCTAGGAGGAAACGTGGAATACCTGAGAATGTTGTACTCGAAATTACTATTGAGCCAACACCTCTTCAGAACCTGAATGATACAGCTGAAATCTCATATGTGGAACTTAAAAATATAGCATCCACCATTGCCAATAAATTCCAGGATGGCTCAATTAGTGCAGCATTGGAAATGAACATAACAAAGGTGGAGATCAATGAGCCCATTTATGTACCATCTGATGAAGACATTCTCTGCCCTGGAAGCTTCCCACAGGATGAAGATCCAATGGGCGAATGTTATTTTGGACCCGAAGAAAACACATTAACAGGAACACCTTGGTCAATAGCATCTCAGTTGAATGCCACAATACGACTGAAGGAAAATTTAAGATTGGCAGAGTTGGCAGTTCCTGTAGCACTTAAGATTATGACTGAGCCTTCCCAGGCATTTGAGATGGCAGCATTTGGGGTTCAACCAAATTTGTATACAGTAGATGGTGCAGGAAAGTTTATTTCTGATCTTGGTATGGATTCAGATCCTTGGATAGTAACAGCTAGTAAGTTATCAGGAGATGGAGATCTAATAAACAATGTCACCTGTGCATTTTTCAAGGGATATTGTGAGTTTAAAGACTTAGGTATTGATACCATGGGATATAACTTTACAATTCAATTTGAAATAACGTATCCAATTGTTGCTATCAACCCTGTTTCAAGTGAAAAAATCCCAGTGGGAAGAAGACCTTTATCAGTGAAATTCACGTCAATACCTTCCCTTCAACCACAAAATACATCTTTCTCAGCAACAGTAGGAATCTGGGATGATGCTCTTGATCTGCCTGTTGACTCAAATTCTGCTCCAAAATCTGCAGTTTCTTGTACTGTGGAGCTTCAACCTGCTTCTGAATTGGCACTTGAAGGAACAACCACTGTTAATGTAGTTGGTGAGTGAACCTTTTTCTGCTATTATTTTTAACTTAAATAATTTATTTTAATTAAATTTTACAATATTTCTTAATTTCAATGTGATATCAGATGGAAACATTTTGAGACTTCTATATTTCTTGTTTTTCATTCTTTCTTCTTGATCTTTCATTCCTTGTCCATCCTTCAATCATACTTTGGCTAATTTTGAAAATAAAAATAAATGAATTTTTTGGATGTTTTCTGCAGCTAGCCAAATTGCAGAGGCAGAACTATTTTTTGGAGCCCTGTATTTATATTCTATATATTGAGAGTGGCAAGGTTACTCTCCCCTTGTTTGTTTTTAAATTTTGCCAGTCAGGATACTGTGTCAGCTCCTGCATTCCTAGCTAATAAAATTTTCTTGATGGAGAGGAGTGAGGGGGGCGTTTTACACATTTTCAAGTTTTTTTATCTACAGTAGGATTTTCTGCTATTATAAATATCTCAAAATCCAAACATTAAACATTTTTGTTTAGATGGTGTTGCAACATTTGATGATCTACATGTTGATGGAGTGGCTGACGGGGCATATTTAAAGGTCACATGCACAGATGAGGCTGATTTTAATCACATTGCCATGTCTCCTAAAATGTTTATTCATCCCTTCCCTAAAACTGGATTACTTCGGGAAACTGATGTTGGATTTTCTTTCAAAGGAAAATATGATTACGTCCAACAGGTTCTTGATGCATTCAGCGCAGCTCTGAACCATTCAGCAGCTCCTGCAAGGAAAAGGAGGTCTTTTTCTGGAAAAGTCAATTTTACCAAGGAATCTAAGAAAAACTGGCCAATATTCTAAGCTGACATCATATATGGTGATGGGTATATAATCAAGGGTAGTTTTTTTTCAAGCTATAGATAGTAGTTATTAATGTTAAGCACAAATGGACACTGATACTGATGTTATGAATAAATATTATATGAATTTACTTTTTTTGTTTGATATTTTTGGTAAGTGCATTTTTGTAAGGTAACAAAAATTTTCTCATCTGCATCTGCATGTTGGTCAAGCTGGCAATGGTTTCTCTGTTTGACGTTCTAAAAAATTTAAAACGTCATAAGGAAAGAGAACACTTTTATATTTGGTTAAACACAGAACAAGAAGATGAGTATCAAAGGTTGATTTTTTATTTTAACAAATTGATTTTATCATGTCTTTAAATTACAGAATACAATTCTTATACAAATACAGACTATAAATTTGATACAAAAATTATTCTTCTTAAAGTTTGACCTTTGGACCAAATTTTATGAAATGGAGAGGTCCCTAAACTCCCTACCACTAGTTCAGATTTGAATAACCAATTTGGATCCTTCCTCAATCTTTAACTTTGAATCTATGGTTCAAATTTGAATTGGCAGTAGTTTAGATACGTTGCTTAAATTCATTTAATTCAGTTCCTGGGACTGAATTTAATTAACTGGAGAGGTTGCTGAACTACATGCCACCGGTTCAAATTCTGAATTACTGATTCACTCTCCAAATCATCTATTAGATCCTTTAACTTTGAATCGGTGATTCAGGATTTGAACCAACTGCAGCAGTTTAAAGTTCAAAGACTGTTCACAGCTCATTAAATTTGATCTGGGGAAGCCAGGTTTATTTTAAATATTTAAAAACATCCGCCTTTTAGAGGACACCATACAAATCTGAGAACTTTGGAAAATTATCATTATTATTGTTTTCATCAAATTTTGAAAAATTTTGACTCTGGACGTTTGTATAATAAAGCTCTATAGTTGGACAAACGACTTGACCAAATTGGCTGAATTTTTTAAAGTGAATCAATGGGTACCCCTGGGGTAACATAGGCTTTATTAAAATCATTTTTTTCTGTAAAATTTTAATTTTTTCTTTTCTTTTATTTTACGGGCAATGCTGAGCACTTCAGCTAGTTATTATTAAGGAAGAAAAATCAAATCTGTAACAAACAGTTGATTTTCATTCAGGTCTACTTCAAGGCACATCAAGCAGAAACATTTTAACGCATAGCAAAAGTATAAATAATGTTTTGGGCATTTCACAATTTTTACAAAATTAAATACTTTTTAAGAAAAGGGTTCAATTTCATACTTTAATGCAAATGTGGTATCAGAACTTTGGGAATCTTGGGATTAAGCATTGATTTTCATCCATCTCTCATCATCATCTCTTCTCATGTTTGATGAAGCGCTCAAGATCAATGATACTCCACACAACAATTCCGACCTCAGATAAAAAACAAATGAATTAACTCTAATTTTATTTTAACTTTTTTGCTGTTAATCCCTTGGGAAAAAACTTAAAGAAAGATGATTTAAGTTAATTAATTCTTTTTGAATATCAAGCTATAGGTCTGAAAAATCAGAACTTCAAAGGCCAAAAAAGATTGTTAAAATATAAAATAGCTGTTTTTATGATTCAATTCATCATCTAAAAGCGTTTCAAATTAGCGATATCTTCTCCAGCTGTTCCGAACTCTAGTTATTGCAACTAAATTCTAGCTGAGTAAATGTTCTATCAATCAATCAATGAATCATCTATGAGTAAATGTTCTATCAATCAATCAATGAATCATCTATGAGCAGGGGTTCCTCTTCTTGAAAGCTGAAGGGAAGGCAATGATGCATGAATCCTGAAATAAAAAAAAAGATTTAACAAATTTAAAAAGCTGAAAACGCTATATATCTATATATCAATGCTTTAAATCCTTTCAATCAGTTTTTTATCAAATGCTAAATAAAAACTCATCACTTTGCTTTCTTAAAAATAATTTAAACCTTGAAGATGTGTGAAATGTATTAACAAGTTTAAAAAAAATAAAAATTGACTTTCTCTTTTCATCTCTGTTTTTAAATTCTTTAAATGGAGATCATTAAAATGATCAATGGTAGATTTTTTGTTAAGAATTAATGCAATTTTTTTTAACCTTTGCTTTGAAAAAGAAGAGTTGAATATGTCTCTCTGTGATCCCTCACCTCTATTCATGGATCTACTAAATTAAACATTTGTTAAACTTTTAACTAGTTTATACTGGACTTGTTACAATTGTAATAAATTTGACTTTTTTAACAACTTTTCAACAATAATGTTGGGAAGTGTACAGACTTTTCATTTTTTTACTGATTTGTAAAGTTTTGGAAATGGAGGTTTTTAAATTCTGACTTACTTTAATCCACTCATTTAACTGTGTCCCCAAAAAAATGTGGAAATTATTATTCACAAAAAGATGTAACTTAACATTTAGAGCACTTTGAACCCTTTTCCAGTCTCAATTTTAACTTTTAACTGTTGATGTTCAAATCACTCTTTTTTTGTCGTACTCCTGAAGACAAATTTTCGCGGAGTTGTCTGATTTATTTGAGGGATTAAAAAAATCTTAGAAGTCGACATTTTATCCTGGCCAAAGATTAGGGTCCATTCGGTTCAGCCGTTTTGACATTGGATAAACACAATCAAACAAACAGACACAAGCCAAAATAATAAATAAGAAGATTCTGTCGGTTAAATTATGAAAGGTGTAACAATCATCATGTTTTAAAAAAAGTGTCCTCAATTCTCGAATATTAAATATAGGTGTTTAAAGAGAACATATTGCTTTGAAACAAAACCTGGTTCTTCTTGGTGTCACAGTAATAGGTTTAAGAGGTGGGAAACCCTGTGAAATATCAAGTCTTGTTATAGAGGTAGACCTGGAGCCCTGACTCAGTCTCAGCTGCAAACAATTTAATTCAGATAAATAGCAAAAGCTACTTTAATAAATTGTGGATTTGAAGAATGAGCAAAGTATCTTAAATTTTGAATAATCATTATAATGAACACCACAGAGAAAACTCATATACATATATATATATACATATATATATACCCATGTTATGTTAAGTACAATAGATCCCAATGTAGAATTTGTACACTCTCAGTGGAGTTGTATTCTGTCGTCACAAGTGTCAATTCAGTTTTTGTGTCCGACAAAAGGTGCTTTTCTTACAGTAAAATAAGTGCAATTTTTTGTGTTTGTGTTTCTGTTTTTACACTTTTTATTTAATCTTGAAAAACAGGTCAACTAATGTGAGACAATTTCGTTTTCCTTGTTATATTTGACACTTGTGACGTTGTGCATAATTGGTTCATTTCTCTGTTGCCACCTATTTGACTTGATAATCTATTTGGATTAAGCTAGCTTGGGTTGCTATTGGCGGCTAAACTTTAGTTGCAGAATGCGTTTTTATTTATTTTAAAGATCTAGGGTTGTCATGGGCCAAATTTCTTCGGATTCGCTTAAGAGAGCTTCTATATAAAATGGTAATTGGTTTAACAATTCACCAAAATGTGCCATGAGCAAAGGACTGGACAGTGTTTCGTTAACGTACAAATGACAATTTTTTTGAAAATAACAGAAGAGTATATTTGTCATTGAACGGCAGAAACCGTTAATTTGAGATCGTTAACAAACGGAAATAGCCGTTCTTGAAAAAAATAACATTTTATAAAAAAGAACGAACAGAATACAACAGATAGTTTCGTTAATTCTTCAATTTAAAATTGCATAAAACTGTTAAAAATTTCTAAACTCTCTTTGGTTTACTTTGTCAACAAAATTGAAATCGGGAATGAACGGAAAATACCGTTAACAAAAAGCATTTTCAGTTCTTAGCTTATGATCAAAGACTAACAGCTGGAAAAAAATAACCTTTATAGTTGCCAACTGAACTAAAGCCAATCGATACTACCTGGTCCCTCAGGTTTATTTACTTTATCTCATGAAATCCCAAGCTGTCGAATTTACTTCAAGATCATTGTTTTTTTTAAACTGAATTATTTCCTTGGTGGGATGATTACAGCCTTTATACTTCATACGCATCTCCTTAAGTACAAAACTCTTGAGTTGATCTAACTCCTCTCTCTGGTTTACATTCTCTTCTCTCAGCCTAAACAATATATGGTTTCTGTTACAAATACAGATGGCATCCTTTTTCTGAATGGACAACATTTTTCAATACGAACAAAGTTTATTGTAAACAAAGAAAAACTAACGAATTGGAGCTTGCAGAGAAATTAAAAACGTTTTTTTAGATAAGTGATTTCAAATTGTCAAACCGTTTATGAACGATTTCTAAATCGATTGTTGTAATGAACACAACATTTTCAAACAAACTTTAAAGGGAGTGAGTTGACCGGCTATGTAAGGTAGTTGAACTGAGTATGCTGTGTTGAGGAAGACTTCTTTCTTATTCATTTGAGACATATTAAACTTTTTAAAGATCTTTAAATCCTGAGTTTGAGCGCAAATTCGACGTTCAAAACTCCTACTTTGGGGGTGGATACGTTTTTAGAATTAGTTGTTTTAAAGTATTTTTAACGACATCGAAAAATAAAGTAAAAATTATACAGTAATCTTATTAGATGGTTAGGAACATATTTCTCAAAAGAAATTTGTCAATAAATCAATAAATTGTTTGCATTATTATATTGAATTTCTTATCTTCTTTAAATTTATTCGCAGATTTCTTCAAATTCTTCAAATGTCGTCTTTTCAATATAATTTTAGAAAATCTGCGAAAATCTTTGTGAATAATGAGAAACCAGAATAATGAGAAAATAGAAACTAATAATTGAACAAGATTACTTATTTTGGATGATAAGATTAATTTTTATTTTCTCAACATGTTCCTATACCTGACGTCTATAGTTTAATGTAGAACTTTTTTTACATTTTATGTCGTCGTTATTTAATAATTTAAAAAAACTAATTCTGAAAACGTATCTACCCCCAAAGTAGGAGTTTTGAAATTTGCGCTCAAACTCAGGATTTACAGATCTTTAAAAAGTTTAATATGTCTCAAATGAATCCGAAAGAAGTTTTCCACAACACTGCATACTCAGTTCAACTACCTTACATAGCCGGCCACTCCCTTTAAAAAACTATAATTTTTTTACTGGACCAACAATTTTTTCAAACAATTTAAAAAAAACGATATTTTTCTTTTACTAAATAAACAATCTTATTGAATAGTTGATTTTATTGAACCAAAATCTCACTGAATGAAAGATTTGATTATACGATCATTTAGTTAGAAAACGAACGAAATATCGATGGAATATGAACGATAAATAACAATGAACAAACGTACGGATTTAGAAAATGTGAATGTGCCCATATCTAGTTACAAGAAGTAATTTTTTTCTTTACATGCAGTGTGATTAAAAATTAAAACTGATTTAGATTTTAAAATTTTTAAAAATCACATTGTTCTTCTGTTAGGTGTATGCTGATTCTCATATCTAGCTAATCAAAAAATCAGGAGTCATGATTGGCCGGATTTCCAGGCCTTAAGTGTACAGCTAATTGGAACTTTAGGTGAATTTAAAAAAGATTTATTCATTCTAACCTTATTAACATCTCTTCGGCTTCTGTTAGTTTTTTGAGAACCTCTGGTGGATCAGGATCAGAAGAAGCTTTATCTAGATCGTGGACAACTTGTTTATGAAGATCTTCTTTTGAACGTTCAGTTTTTTGCTTTTCAGCTCTTTCAGTCATTTCTTCAATTTGTTCCAGTTTCCTTAGAAAGAAAGAAAATAATAATGGACAGAATTATTGTTAAAATATTGCTGTAATGTTGAATGTTAACTAAATTGTTTTTAGATTTTCCAAAAATACAAACATTATGTTTCAACAGAATTTTAAATTTGAAAAAAACTATCGTCATTTCAAAATGATTTAGGAAAATGTTTTGGGTAAGTAGGCTATAATGCACAAAATGTTAGGTTATGTTTTCGAAATGAATGTTTGAGTTTTGAGTGATATCCTACTTGCGCTGCTGTTCTACAAGATTCTCCAGGTACAGATTACGGGACCGTGTTTCAATAAGACATCTCTGCATCTCCTTCATCTGGAGGTTTAGTGTCTCTAACTGTTTGGTGTACCCAGTCTGCTCCTATACAACCAATACAGAATCCTATACACCGAAAACTCTTATTTTCTCATTCTTATTCTTTAAAACCTTTGATATACAGGGGGGGGGGAGTATTGGGACTCAGTCCCTCCTGGATCAGGGCAATATATGGTTCCCAGCAGGTTTAAAGTAGGGTTTCCAATCGAAGTTCCGTTGCGTGGAATTGCGCGGATTTGCGCTATAATTGCGAACACGGAAGCAATTATATATTGGCAGAAGTGCAGGGAATTTCGTGCAATGGAAATGGGTTTCCAACTAAAAATCAACAATTTTGAACTTACACATTTATCAAATATCAGAATTGTTGATTTTCCAATAATCAAGATTCAAGAGTCAATTTAAATTTTTCAACACTTTTTAAATTTTAAAGTTTCTTGTGTTTTTTTTTTAATAATTTAATACAGTTAAACCATAAATAAGCCATACATCGAAAGAATTCGTCAAATGTCGTATTCTTCACTTTCTGATAATGGAATGTTGAAGATATTTAGTTTTTTTATTTAAATGATTATATGGAGCTCTTTATAACTGTTCCCGCATATTCATGGTTATTTATTTATTTATGCAAATACTGAGAATTGCGTAAAATAGTATAAAACCCATTGAAAAATTGTCAGGACGACATTTGATAAATTCTTCCGATGTACGGCTTCTCCAAGGTTTAACTGTATGATACATTTTTCATTTGTTCAGATTGGATGGAAACTTTTTTGGTTAAAATTAGTAACTTCTGAAATCAGTTATTCAGTTAAATGGGCCTTCTTAAGTCTAAAAGTCGTCTTCCTTTGCCATAGTTTTCTGGTCATTATGCTGTATTATTGTATATGAATATAATAAAAAAAGTTTAAATTTTATTTTCTATTTGACTCTGAAATGTTAGTGAAGTTCAATTTAAATTGAACTTTGTTGAAGCTCAATGTCGTTGAACGGAATTGCGCAATAATTACTTGCATTTACTGCGCTCAATAAGATTTGTCCTTTGCGTTTATTGGTCGCAATTATAACGTTTATTGCACACAAAAGTAAAATAGCTGGAAAGCCTAGTTTAAAGATCTCAACGGGTTCTGGGTCCTTCTCGAGAAATTACTGTATAGTGTATACATACACCCTTGAATTTAATCTATATGCATTCTGCTAGATTGGGAATTATTGAGTATCAATTTTCATAGTGAAATAGAACTTGTTGACAATTCTAGGGTTTACAGTATCCAGTTGCAAAAATATAGATATTTAAAACAATTCTAGGGTTTACAGTATACAGTTGCAAAAATATAGATATTTAAAACAATTCTAGGGTTTACAGTATACAGTTGCAAAAATATAGATATTTAAAACAATTCTAGGGTTTACAGTATCCAGTTGCAAAAATATAGATATTTAAAACAATTCTAGGGTTTACA